CAACAACAACAACAACAACAACAACAAAAAACGCATGAAGCATTACAGCAAGAAAAACAAGACCAATAATGAGAATGAGAAGTAGGTGAGGAGGTTGTCCTGCCTGGTCTAGAGACAGTTTGTGGAATATTGTACTACAGCATGTATGAAACACTGCAGACTGTGCAGCTGCCGTATCTTACGTTGTGGTGAATTCAGTCTTGAAGTAGTCGTGCATAGTCAGACATCAGACTTCATCTCAAGAATGTGCCTCATTATGTATATGCTATATGATACATACACAAAAAAACACTTTGGCCTGTTTGTATTCCTTTGAACCAGTCACAGTCTTTTTAGTGGCGTTAAGCCTGCGATGCAGCAACGGTGCCCCAAAAATACTAACAGAGGCAAATGCTGTCATTTAAAACTGGCCATTGCAGCATGTATGTTGCTGTGAGTTAGGTTATCTGTGGTCAGAACAGTTCGACTAAAATAATGATGATCCATCAGTAAGGATCAATACAAACAATAGAATGGAAAAAAAAAAAATGACACAGTGGTTAGAGAGCTGCATTTAAAGCCCCTTAACACTGTATAAAAATTATGGATTTCTCTGGGTCTAAACATTGTTGGAAATTGGATGGCAAATTTAAAAAAAAAAAACAAAATTACACAACATATTGGTAGCTTAAGTTAATTGGGCCTGGTGCCAACTCAGTGTCGCTAACGTGAGTAAACTAACTGATAGCATTAAGCTAACATCTACACGCCATGATAGANCCATGTGGTCACCACGTTGCTGTGTATTTTTTATGTCACTAGATGGCGCCATTGCACCACTTCTGTGTGGTGATTTCTGTGCTTGGAGTTTATATGTTTGTGATAACTGAGAGTTATTATAAGTTGTACTAATGTCTGTTGTTTGGTTTGTTGTTCCAGACTCGCTCTCTATCTTTCTATATCTCTCTCTGCCTCCATCTATGTGTACATCCTTCTGTACATGTAAATAAGTTGAAGAATATCAGCCAAAGTAAAGACTGCTGAAGAACATACTGAGGCCCAGTCTCTTCATCCTGTGTTCTGACCGACACACCGTCTTGTCTACAGTTAGCACCTAAACGAACTAGCCCTCCTGCTATCGCCTCCCTAACACTATGAAAACACATACTGTGGAAGAAAGTGTAGTTAATACTGTTTAACAGCCCGTTTACACAGCAGACATGTGGACCAGTCACAGGATGGACGTGTACAGGGAGCTGATGACTGAGCTCCATAAAGTTCTTTTTGACAGAAGCAGCATCATCACAGCAGGAGCTCTGCTCAGAGGAATGAAGCCAGAGTTATTACACCTCTGCTTTCTCTACTGGGACAAGTTCAGATGGCTGCAGTGAACAACA